ATTAAAGACGGCGAAGTGTTGAGCTTCCTAGGGAAGATCGAGTTAGCTCGGGACCTATGATACTCTAACATAGTTCTTACCACCCGGTCTTTTGCGTCTCAATGGGGAGAGTCAACTCAATCTTCCTCGCCTCTAGAAGACTTCTAGTTAATGCAGTCCATGGATAGGTGGCAGGTGCCCTGAGTTCCAGAAGGGGAAGTTTTACCCAAGTCCTTGATGTTCCAGACACCCTCCGACTGAGATGAGTGGCGCCTGTGAGTCTTCTTTCCCGTCTTGTCGGCTTCTTTTTCCTCCTTAGAATTTATTGACAAGCCAGCAATGGCAGAATCGACTTTTGTAAGTTCGGCCGACATAGTTGCGATAGGGGCGTGTATGGGAAAGGATCAAGAGGGTAATCACTGCTCTCCAGAATTAGCGTTGAACGTCATGGTAATGTCAATGTTAAGAACAGGGTGTATGAAGGCTTTTGCCTTGATGGTGTAAAGCGAGTAATAGATACTGCCAGGCAACTGAGGCTGGAGAACTTACCAATCTGTGGTAGGTATTGTAGAGTAGGTATGGTTGAGATCCAAATAGGATTAGAAGAGGATGAGAGGAGGGATAAGGAAGATGAAAGGGTGAAGGGGAAGAATAAGAGGAAGGGAGAAAAGAAGAAGAGAGGAGAAACGGAGGGGGGCATGAGGGAATCCCAGCAGGAGGGAGGGAGGGCAGGTGACCTAACTGGCTCATCCAAAATACATGCTCAACGGGTACTATCCATTCATTGTACGATACTCTACCACACGACTAGGGTTCCTCCCATGATACCTACATTAGTACGTCGTACGAGGCGGGGTCATGGAACCCTAACTCTGCATTGCAATTCGGGATTGGACCTCAAAGAAGGTCGTACCTACCAGTATCCTAGGTACTATCATGGATTTAAGATGATTTGACTTATCTTTTTTAAGGGGGAAAGTAGTATGGTATACACATACATACATACATACCTTGAGTACCTACAGATTGTAATACCATATAGAGTAATGCTAATTACGGTGAGGATTGCAACTTAAGTGAATAAGTTATTATAACCTTATTGTTGTACGTAGTCAATCAGTCAGCCGACCTGGATACTGCTGGAAGGTGGTGATGAGGGAGGGCATTGGGAATTAAGACACCGACTATTATTTACCGTTTCAATATTCACCACGATTGCCTCTTTCAACTTATAGCAAGCAGATAATTGAAGGCTCACGAGTTATACTAACGTTCAGCATTGGAATGTATCCGGGAGAACCGGATCACACGACAAGAGCTGAGCTCCGGAGGTGGTCCACTAAGGCTGCACCCCGCATTTCCGCGCGCTCCACTTGCCCCATCACCTTATACGGAGGAAACGATCTTGATTGTTGTTGTTGTTGTTTTTCCCTGGGAAAGTTCTCGGAAACTGGATCATGATGATGATGACAGTGGCGTCTACTGCTCATTCGCCTTCTATTCTTCTCGAATAGTCATTGACGACATCCATTCTGGTATGCTTCATGGTAACTGGTCGAGATGAAAGTATACCGGTAGTACCAGAATCTCAGGCAACCTTATTTGGAAAACTAGTCTCCGATCCCGTCCAAATTTGGAGTTACCCATTGATGGCCCGAAGATGGAATGCGTAACAAAAACGCTCTGCCAGTGGCTTCGAATAAATTCTCACGTGATACCGCAGGGTGGAGCCATGTCAATTGTCTCTTTCTCTCTTATACTAATCAAAAAAGAAATATGAAATTGTAGATAGTAAGTAGTAGTGGCAATTTATCTATATATCTTCAAACGAATCATGTACACTATGTGTTTAAGCAAAAATCAATATATCTCTTTCGGTGCACCGGAGATCACGGTATCAGAACTGGCTTTTAGCGCGGGATGATCTCTTCATAAGTATAACAACTACATCATCATCATCAAAAATTGAGACAGTGTGGCCAGATCGGGGTGGGTTGATATATCTCATAGACAGTGGTGATGTGACAATGATCATATGGTTTAGAGAAGCGGGGTCACCCTCTTACTAGACTCCTAAACTAAGGTTCTTTAGTAGATCTGCAAAGACAGGTTAGTCTTAGTTAGCACTAGCTCCTTCCTGTAAAGGCCTGTGCCTCTATCTGGACACGGAAAGGTAGTACCTTCTGTTGATCATGTGTACTAAATCAATTGCGTGGCAAGCAAAACAATCGTTCTAGATTGTTACTTGAAGCGTTACTTAAGCTTTCGGCAATGCTGGAACTTGCCATGAAGTACAGAGTACAACCTATATTCAAGGACATAATATCTTATCAAATTATGAATCATTTAGTATCATAGAGATTCAAATTCTAACTGCTTCTGTCGTCCAATTTACACAAGCATGCATCTTCCCTTTTTGTCAATCGAATAGTACTGGGGTACCGAAAACATCTTCGAGAGATCTTATCAACTACAAACCTCTTGAATGTACGGAGTACAGAACACCCAAAGGAGAAAGAGAGAAGGGAGGTAGGGGTAGTAGGGCTACTTTTCGTAGATGACTGTCTTGAATTGTATGAAAGTGTCGAGATAGTCGAAGGTTACTGCCCTTGATATCCTTCTATACAGAGTAATGCTAGCTTCGCTTCGCTCCGCTGCGCAATCCAAGCCAAGATTTAATAGAGGCAATGATGCTAAGGCTGCAAAGAACAGCCGATTGCAAAAGTTTCGAGCATCTAAGACCATATGAAGACAAAGATGAAAGACATGCTGATACAGACCGCTCACGTACTGACGTGCTAACGACTACTAACTACTCAACTACGACCCTGTTCTGTAAGGGGCAAGGTGCTTCGGAAGCTGACTAAATGGGGGGAGTTTGTCATGCTTGAAGGGCGGTGTACATAGGCCGTGAAGATACTGCCGTATCCTCATAGGCATTAATGTGTCGCGGCTACAGAACGCGCGCCTTCCCAAATCTATGCCGAGCTCTTTGTCTTCTGCTTTATTCCATTGCCAATTCTCTAGTCAACCTTAGTATTCATACAGAAAGGTCGGCAGTTCGTGGTTTACTGGTTTTTCTGCAACTCGATATAGGCCTAGTAATAATTTTGACCCGTTCTCACCAAATCCTGTGAAAAGCAAAAGTTCTCATTCGAATGTCGTTCTTCGGTTCTGTCGGCACTGCGTCGACAACAGCGGGCCAAACAAATACCACCGGCGATATATCTAAAGATATCGCTCTCAATTCGCCTCCTGAAGATAGCATTTCTGATCTTCAGTTTTCCCCCGCCAGTGAACATCTTGCGGTAGCTTCTTGGGACAAGAAAGTCCGCATTTATGAGATCAATGATCAGGGACAAAGTGAAGGGAAAGCTCTCTTTGAGCATGAAGCACCAGTTTTAAGCTGCTGCTGGGCACCGGTAAGCTTGACAAACTTTCATGCCGCTTCATTTCTCAAGCTAAGTGACCTTTCGCTCTCCAGGATGGAACTAAAGTAGTAGGCGCTGGTGCCGATAAGGCTGCTCGCATGCTCGATCTTGCTGCAAATGCTACCACCCCCGTCCAGGTCGCAGCCCACGATGCTCCGATCAAATGCTGCCAGATGATTCCGAACCCTGCAGGGGGCACACCCCTCTTAGTGACCGGCTCATGGGACAAGACAGTCAAATACTGGGATCTACGGCAATCGACCCCGATCGCCACGGTAGAATGCCAGGAGCGTGTTTACACCATGGATGTCAAGAACAAGCTGCTAGTGGTTGGAACTGCCGACCGATACATCAACATCATCAATCTTGACAATCCCACCAAATTCTACAAGACTATGCAATCCCCTCTCAAGTGGCAGACGCGAGTAGTCAGCTGCTTCACAGATGCCACAGGTTTTGCTGTTGGCAGTATTGAAGGCCGCTGTGCTATTCAGTACGTGGAGGACAAGGACTCTAGCTCGAACTTCAGCTTCAAGTGTCATCGGGAGACACCGCCAAACCAACGCGACATCAATAACATCTATTCCGTCAATGCTATCTCTTTCCACCCGGTTCATGGCACGTTTAGCACCGCCGGCAGCGATGGAACCTTCCACTTCTGGGACAAAGACGCCAAACATCGCCTAAAGGGATATCCCTCCGTAGGGGGGACCATCTCCAGTACAGCATTCAACCGCAATGGCAATATATTTGCCTACTCTGTGAGCTATGATTGGAGCAAAGGCTACTCGGCCAACACCCAACAGCTTCCCAATAAAGTAATGCTTCATCCGGTTGCTCAGGAAGAGGTGAAGCCCAGGCCTGGTACCCGGAAGAGGTAATATTATTTCTCCAGGGTACGAAGTTGGCGCAGTTGGGGGTTTGGTGTGGTCGGCGTCAGCCTTGGGTTGATATCTTGCGAGCTTTCGAGTCCCTTGTCGACGATATAAATGGGCAGTGGTCGACAACTCCCTTCCTGGGTTGGTTTCTTGAGGGTTTGGCTGTTTTATCTTTCATGTTATTATCCCCGATTTATGTACCTTTTTTTTCTTTCACCTTTTCCTTTTGGGAATGCATATGAGCGAATTAATCTATGATATCTTTGCATGTTTGCAATTTCTCGTGGATGAATGCATTTCCAGTTCCATGAGCAGGAAACAGTAGTCCATGGTGGGGGTTTCGTCTCTTTGGAAAAGCTGGGGCGTAGAGGGCGCTGCCTGTAGAGCATCGACAGCCCCGCCAAAAGACGAGACCTCCCCCAACCCCCAAAATAGAACTTGTGTAGGTAGTCTTACTAGTAGTGGAATAACTTCCCTATCACTCTGGCGAGCCCTGGAAGCTGTCTTTGCTTCTTTTTTGGTCGTTTCTTACGTTAGTCCGTACATTAGATAGGATAGTGATCACCATAGGTGGACCGGGAGAGAGGTCAAAAGTGGGGTGGAGTATTTTGATCAGAGGAGGGAAAGAGAGGAGGAATTGTGCCAGGGGAAACACCCCCCCAAAAAATCAAGGCAGAAAAAGGCAGCAAAAGCAACAGCAGTTTCGAACTTGGGATCCGTCTTTATGATAAGGCCACGGAACACTTCCACAATTCTATAACTCCTTATTAATTCTCTTCTTGACTGCCGATCGGTTCCGAAATCCGTTCCTCTCTCCCCCTTCCTTTTCCCTTCTTTGATATCATTCAACACCTACCCCCCCTTTATCCATATGGAAAACAACTTACTCGAAGGTCTCCTCGACCTGGAGGAAGAATTTTACAGGGAAGGCTATGACCTAGGAGCTGCCGATGGCGCACAGGCTGGCTACACCGAAGGCAGTGTATTCGCTATCGAGAAGGGCTTTGAAAAATTTCTTGAAATAGGAAGGCTCTACGGTAAAGCTCTGGTTTGGTCACAAAGACAAGCTGAGCTAGACTCATCCAACACTAGGGATCCTCCCCAGATGGCTCGGTTACCTAGTGAGAAGGGTGAAGATTATCTGGAGCCATCTGTTTGCAAAGAAATGTCGAGCGTTCCACCCAGCTCCAGGTTAGCGAAGAACATCGATACGCTTCTTGAATTGGTTGACCCGGCGTCTTTACCCATGCAAAACACAGAGGAAGCCGTTATTGACGTGGATGAGCGTCTGAAGGGTGCGCTAATCAAGGCCAAGCTTATCCAGCGTGCACTGGGCGAACGAGAAGATGCTTGGGATATACACCCTGATGCGAAAGACATTCCCCAACAGAAAAGCTCTGGGGATGGAACTGGCAGCATTGAAGACATCAGCTCCCTGAAGCTCCGCCAATGAAGGATGTTGTTTCTCAAATCATCCTACTCATTATCCCTAACAAGACCGCTTCTACCCAGCCACCGGTACCCTTCGGAGTATCTCCGATAGAGAAGCCACGATGATGACATATCTTACTCAAGTTTCGGTTTGACTCGTCTCCATGTATCCTTAATCACGGGCAGAGGTAATAAGGGTGGATTGAATTGTCAAGCTTGGAGGTCGATCATTGATTGCTCCACAAATCTATGGTCACCCCCACACACCAAGTTCTCAATTGGCCTTTAGTAGGGATGGCAATCCAAGACCACTTCCCAGTCGCGCGTCATGTCCGTCGGAATTACGGTCCTATCGGTGTGACCCGTCGGTTGTTCCTCCCTTTAGTTGTGCTGGTTCCACCGGGAACTGGGGTTTTTAAACGAAAATATGTGTTTACATGCGTGTGTATGTGAATTTGTCCATGATTTCTTTGCAAGAAGGGTATATATAGAAAATTAGACGCCACGGTCGGCTCGGACTGTCTCTTGAACCAACTCCTCCTTTTGTTATTTACAATTCACCTTTCTTCCTATATATTTGATTCCTTAATCCTCGTGTATTTCTCCGGCCATGGCGTGGTTGCAGTTTCTGGGTCTTGTATTATCTGAGCTCACTCACGCTCAGACTGGAGTGATGTCCCCCGTTGCAGAGGCTTGCGGCCCTTCAGTGGTATGCATTAATCAATATGCGAGTGTGTTGCCGTAAGTATATTGCAAAATTTACCCGAGCAGACACAATTCTCAAGGTTGACCAGATATCATTTCTTTCGAAACGTCTCTACTATGGATGACGTATCTACTTTTGGTGACACCACAGTCGCCAATGGTACTTTACTGAAGGATGTCAAGTCGGCCAACTTTCTGGTATATGATAAAGAAAGAGGTCTAGAGATCCTGGGTGACAATCCAAGTTATGAGTTCATGTTTACCGTCTCCGAAGCTGTCCATGAGGCACCTGTGTACATCGCATCGCAGAATAAACTCTACCTATCTCAACTGGCTCCCCCTCCTGGCTATCTCCCCCAGCTCGTCGTGGATTTGAATGAAGACCCACCTACACTGTCCAAGTACCTCTCCGACCCTCCTGTCTATGCTCCCAACGGAGGTACATTCCATGATGGCAAAATCATCTGGGGAGCGTCCGGCGGTAACCGATCAATCGGAGGTAGTGAACAGCGCATCTCTTTGAGGACATTGGACCCGGAAACCAATAAGTCGGTCACCCTGTTAAACAATTACTTCGGATATTATTTCAATACCATTGATGACCTGGCGGTGCATCCAAAGACAGGGGACATTTGGTTCACAGATCCTCGTTAGCCACCCTCCATGCTTATTTTGACATTAAACTGTCGGCTAACCCGCTGAACAGAGTATTCGTGGTTCAATGCTCTCACCGACACTCCCCCCCAGCTTCCAAGTGCCAGTTACAGGTACAATGCCTCGTCGGGCGCGGTTTTCGTGGTTGATGACTCTATTGGCCAGCCAAATGGCATTGCTTTTAGCCCGGAAGGCTCAGTCGTCTATATCACCGACAGTGCCGCTGTGAGCGCGCCAGTCGATCCGCAATATGGCCATCCTGGCAGTATATTTAATACCACCCAGCGCAGGTAAGGAATACGGCCAGTTCTGTCAAAAGGCCAAAACACTGACGCAGATATCCCCGGTCGACGTAGGACCGTTTATGCCTTTGACGTAAGCGAAGATGGTACCAGCGCTTACAACAAGCGACCTATCTATATAGCCTCTGGATTCGTCCCGGACGGCTTGAAGGTAGCAGCCAACGGATACATTGTGGCAGGTGTCGGACGAGGTGTTGATGTACTTGACCCCTCTGGCCAGCTTCTTTTAACTATCCAGACAAACTATACCGTCCAAAACTTTGCCTGGACTGGGCCCGAACTCAAGACACTCTGGCTTATGGGTAATGGGGGGATCAGTAAAGTTGAGTGGCAACTCGGAGGACAGGAGCTAAGGTGAATCTAAAGACCAGGAAATGTGAGACGCCAAATGATAGTAGTGTATGTTGGTGTTTCGGATGAGATAACCTAATCATAGATATTGACTTTTTGTCGAGGAGGAACATGCTGACAGTGGTAAAATTTACTCGTTTGCGGTATTACACACACACACACACACACACATTTTTCCGGGCTGTCTAATTGAGATTATATAATTTCTTAACCCAAGTGATAGACTTTTAGAAATCACCCGTCATATGGCCTGTCAACTGCATCGTAGTATAATGATGGATTGAAGCGTGCTATAAGTTATCTCCCGTACTACCGTTAGCACTCAGAGAAGGTGAAAAAACAGAGGAATTATTGCTCCAAGCCACGGACCGCCATGGCAAATGCTCCTTCTTTGGTCTTGTGGCCGCCGATGAAACCGCTGGCATGGACAAAAACTGCACCCTCGGGAATCTTGGGCTTGCCGGTTTTCTCAGCTTCTACCGCCATAACGCCGTCGAGATCTGCATCGCGAACTCCACGCCAGGTCTCTGGCAGAGGTTTCCTGGACACAAAGCTAGTTTCATTCACTGACACGCACTGCACGCGCCATTTAGATCCTTCAGTAGCACTCTCAGGGTATAGAACGTAATAGACCTCCTCTTCGGACTTGGTCTTATCGGATTCCGACGCTTCCCTTTCGAAGTTATACAAGTGCTCTTTCCATGGCACACCGCCCTGAGGGAGAACAATAATACGGCCAGAAGGATGAACGTCCCGGCGGGAACGGTAGGAATTTCCCACAGTAGTGCGTGCAGGTAACCAAGATGTACTGGCGTGGTGTAGTTTGCGAGTGAAAACGTTTCCAATAAAGGTGCTTGCTCGACCAAAGAGACTGTCCTCATCCTGAGGTTCCCCGGGCGGGCAGGTCGGATCAGGGTTGTTCATGTCGCCCACCACCGATGTGATGGTGATGGCACCATCCCTGAAGCGCTTCTCGAGATTAGCAGCGGATAATTCAGCGGGGTCGTAGACTGAAATGCCATTGTCGTTGGCATCAATAGCTTCGATGAAATCTGTGTACAGTTTTTCGTACAGTAAGTTGACGTCGTGGTGATCCACCGGCAATGACGTGTGTTCAGCAATGATAGCTCGGCCGAAATGCATGTATACTAAGCCCGCCGAGGACAATTTGGTAGTATGGCTAGGGAAGGTCGTGGAAAAGCTACGCTGGTGGTGATCATAACGGTTGTTCGCGGGATCATATTCTCCACCCACGTCGACAACGGTGTGGCAGTTTGCTAGCTGCGCCGGATCTCTGGTACGGATGAGGGGAGATGCAGAATAGGTGGGGAGCTGTCGGAGAAGATAGACCGCGAGGGCCTCGTCGGCATGAAAATGGCCGCTGAGAGGTGTATATCAGTAATGAGGGGCCTGTCATTGGAGGGTGAAGTTCAAGCGGCAGTTGAGTGAGTACCTATGAGTCCCAATCAAGGGAGAAGAGGTCTTGATTTTCTTTGCGATAGTCTCGTCGGTCATTCTGAATAGTTGTCGAAATCGCAGCATCCAACAATTTCGTCCAAGTGCATAGGTTCAAGAAGAGAAAGCTGATAGTTAATTACCCGTATGGATGGTACTTAGTAATGTACTGTACTGTAGTTACTTATTCGAGATTAGACCACAGAAGATTCTCTGATACGAGTATGGTTAGTTAGGGCTTCCATCGGAGGGCTTTCTAAAAGCATGTGAGAGCCAGTGTCAAAGCAACGCTATTCCCAAACCAGTAATGAAATTCCACGGCCCAAGGCTCCAGACTCGACCCGACTAGTACTAGTACTACTCTGGAGTAGTACATACTCTGTAAATAAATGTTGATTCACCACCTAATCCGAACCCTGGCGAGCTAAATGATGAAGTCAGCAACTATTTCTATAAATTTTACTAACGACAGGAGGCACTGTGTGATTATGACAGAGAATTTGCGCCATGACAAGATGAAGAAGTACGATCTGAGGATGTACTTAGTATGCCCTGGCAAATTTTGCTTGATCAGGTTGGGTGGGATATATCTTGTATAGAAAAAGAAAGAAAAGTAAAAAAAAAAAAAGGGGGAGAGAGAGAGAGAAGGAAAAGAACGGAAAAGAAAAATATTCGCAGTACTTCTAACTGTAAAGACTTAAAGTCTCGACGTCTGAGTACATGATCATTTTATACGTACTGTAGCTAGCTAACGGTATATTCACCGCCTTGGGAAAAGAAAAGGCACAGTTGTCGGGTACTGTATGTTGTACACAACTAACTCTCATACTCGTTCTGCTTTTTTTTTTTTTTTTTTTTTTTTTTTTTTTTTTTTTTTTTTTTTTTTTTTTTTTTTTTTTTTTTTTTTTTTTTTTTTTTTGGCCTTCTCTCTTGCTAATCATACCTCGGTGTGTATGTGTCACTAAACGCTTTAGCGGCTTTTGAATGTTACTGAATCATCCAAAATCTTGTCTTTAGTCTGGGTTGTACCTTTTTTTTTTAATAACTGCCACGTGAAAATCATCATATTCTGTCCCGCCTGGAAGGAAAGAAAGTGAGATAACATCAGAAACGTTCATCCAGAGCAAAAGGGGAAACTTATTTCGCGGGAATAGGAATAATAATAACACCCCCGAAAACTGTAGAGAAAAGAGAAGAGGAACATCACTCTCATCCTCTTTAAGATTGGTTCATGCGTATCTATTAAGGGACTTTATTTTCCCTCTCTTCGTTTTCATTATTTCTATAAATTTTTTTATTTTTTCTTATTTTTCTTATTCTTCTTATTTTTCTTCTTTATTTTATTTATTTAGTTTATTTATTTAATTTAATTTAATTTTTTTTAAAAAAAAGATTTAATTTAATATTATTTTCTTTTTGTCACTCGGTTGCTTCGTTCTCCAAACGTTCGCATCATTCTTGGGAGAGTTTCTCCGCTCAAACTTACGCGACAGTTTATTTATTCCATTATCATCCAACTCTCGACGGCAACTTTTATTA